CCTGGAATACATTGAGCACTTTGTAAAGTTATATGAGGAGGTAGGAAGACATGTAGGTTGTCCTGTAAGTCACACAACAATTCCTTTTATAACAGATAGTAAACTTTGAACTTCAAAAAACTGTCTTATGAAGACATTAAAATGTAACTAATCCATAAATGAGCACTTCCCTAGTAATCACACGCACCTACATTCATATAATGATAACATATCTAAAAGAAAGCAAAAAAACTCCAAAAAGAGAAACACTTTGAGGTTTTAGATAAAATGGTACAGGATATGTGGCCAAAGGTGGAGCAACTGGGGTAGCTGCCTTTCTGGGAAGACTCCTAGGAAAACAAGAATCCCTGTGGTGAGGACATCACAATGTCTTTGCTTATCTCATTTTTTAACTCACATATATGAAAATCAGGAGTACGTGAACATTGCGATGTAGATTGTTAACAATTTATACTGCTCTCCATACTTCAAATGTGTCTCCTTTAGTTTGCAAGACTGAAGAAAATAAAGCAATAAAAATCCTTTAATTATCACCAATTTTCTTTTACAACATCTTGGAAAGTAGGCTGGAGAAATAATTCAGCAGTCATAAGTGCCTGCCTGGCAAGGGCAAGGTCCTAAGTTCCATCTTAGAAGAATAACATCTTAGAAAAGAAAGAATAACATCTTAGAAAAAAAATTCTATGAATATATCCTTCTCAAAACAGAAAATTAAAACTTAGTGAAGGTGTAATGGGCATGATAAATGTGATTTTATGGAGATAAAAGTTGTGTTGCTCAGGATAGTAGTCATCTGTATTTCCTTTTCCTTTAAAAGAATACTGAGAGCCAATTAACTCAGGATAGGGGATAACTTTTAGGTTTTTCACCATTTTAACTTCCAAGAATTTCCTTTGTATTACTGAAATTATCACTTGAACAAAATATCCTTTAGTCTTCTTTTTATTCTATAGCTAGCTTAGAATTGTCTTCACATGAAATAGTTCCCCATAACGCTCCCTAGCAAAATTAGAAGAATGAAATTTAACTCTCACATGCTTTTTTGAGGCAAGGTCTCACTATTTAGTTTAGGCTGGGCTTGAACTTGAGGTGTCTCACCTTCTGTCTCACCCTTATGAATGCTGGGATTACAGGCACGCTCCTCACCCTTACTTTCATGTGCTTTCTTTGAAGGCTACAGGTTTCTGTCCATCTTCATGAATGTATGTTTGTAGTGACCATAGGCAGAAATCTAAGGCCCCCAAGATAGCTACCAACTTGTGTGCGTACGCCTTCACCAGTTATTGAATCAAAGGGAATCTAGGTGTCATTGTGAGGAGATTTTAACAATGCAATTAAGATGTGAATCAGTTCACTTGAAGAGGAGGAAATTGCCTTTGGGAGTCCAACCTAGCCTGGTCATGCCTTACATGGGACTGGGCTCTATTGGGAGAGATCAGTAGTGAGAGAGATTGGATGGGAGGACAGTTCTCTATCTCTGACTTTGAAGAAAAAAGCAAAAAGAATGGACAGCATCAGGAGCTAAGAGAGCGCTTGGGCTGATGGGCAGGAAGAGAATAGTGACCTCAATGTGGCTCCAGAGAGATGAGTTCTGCCTGATACTTGAGTGAGCTTGGAAAGGATCATGAGTATAAGATAAGTGGCCCCAAGCAAACATTTGATTTCAGATGTGTGAGGTCTAGCCATGTACAGAACAGTGAACCCACAAACTAGTATGGCCATAAGCTGCTGAGTTTATAATAATACGCTATAACACAAGCAAAAGGTTATATCCCTATGTTTATTTTATGGATGCAAATAAAACAGAAAAAGGAAGCAACTCCACTCATAGTCTAGACATCCAGTATTTTACTAAAAGTACTACTTCTTTTGAAGTCTGAAGTGATATCAGGCAAATGATTAGTATAACTTATCCAGAAGAGCAGTGTGATGGTGCATTTCACCTTCAAGTATTGTTTATGTTGATAAAAGTTGGGAGTAAATTCAAAGATCATTCATGCAGAATTAATTAGCTACACATTTAACCTGTGCCTTCTGCTGTGATTGTGGTATGACATTGTGTGTTGCATGGACTATGTTTCCCAGCGCTTTTCTCCAAAGAACAAATACTCTAAATGACAACTTTTACCCTTGTTTGTTGGACACCAATCCCCAGGTGTTTGCAGCTCCTCTTGGGGCTTTGTGAATGTCACTTCCATGCACTTGAACAGTGTATCAGCAGGTATTGGACCTTGTGGTCCCATTGCTCGGTCTGCAACCTTATGGTTTCTCTATGACTAGGCAGATAAGAGCAAGCCCTCATCTGTTTTTTTTCCATTTTCTCTATTTATAATTATACCATGGCCCCAAAATAAACTTTAAAGCTTGTAAATACTCTAATTTTTCTCCTGTGGTCCTTTTTGTTTTCCAATAACTTGGTGCCATGCTGATAGGAATTGCTGAAAAAAAAATGAAGAGTCCAAAAATTCAGTAGATGTGAGTGAATACATAAATAATAAATGCTATCAGAGAACTCAATTACAGTACACTGAAAGTCAATCTGACGCTGAGAATAAATGGGTGCTCTAAAAGTTAGAAGACTTAAGCTTGAGAAGACTACAGGTTCTACTGTGTACATGGGAGAAATCCCTTTATGTGTTCTGAGTATTTCTTTATTTGGAGGGTGATTACATTGTGCTGAACAGTCTCTAAGATTCATTTAACTTCTCAGTTTCAATTTCAAGCCACTGCAGTCTGTTTGCTGCTATATTTGAGGATATCAGATCTTGTCCACCATAGGGCACTTGCGCAAGTTCTCCACGTCTCCAGATCTCTTTTTTTTAATCAGTTAGAGCTCACAGGACTAATATTTTCCATACCAAATAGAGTTCAGTCCTCTCAAGCCCCATTGTATTTACTGGATAAAATTACTAATTATGCCCAAAGAAAGCATGGGTTTTATATTCAAAAGAGGGCTTTTAAAAAATTAAATAAATAAATAAATAAAAAGAGGCCTTTTTTATGCATCAACCAATATTGCGTGAAAGTTCATTTAGCACAAAACATTGCAATAAATCCTGTTAAGTGGAATATGAAAAAGAAATACATTTTGCTCCCAAACAATTTTACTTACTAATATATACAAATAAAATGATAAATTAATAAGGTATGCAAAAAACTTCACTATGCCTGCAAGTTACAGAGATGGGGCAACAGAATAATGTGAGCTGAGCCCGCCCAGGCTGCTTGACTCTTAAATCATGCATCTTCTCTCTCATCTTCTGTTATTTCATATGAAAGGTTGATGCAGGACCTACATGACTCTTAGTGTTTAGTGGTAAAAGTAAGCAACACCAACCTAGCCCTTTCAGAAGCCCCATCTAGCTGTAGAACATTCATGCAAACAAGTACTTGGTACAATGGGATGGGCACAATTGTTGATCACAAGATGCACAAAAGAGAAAAAAGTAGCATGTGTTTTCCTCCAGAATTGTAAAAATTTCTTCATTTCCTGATAGGATGCAATACAAAGTACAAAGTACCACATTTGAAGTTTTCTTGATAAATGAATTTAACCAATCTGTTCAACACCTTTCATCTAAATTCCAGCTTGCAAGAAATAAGGGAGATGGAAGAACAAGTTAACTGACACCACAGAAAAGCATTCATGGGGCTAGAGAGATGGCTCAGTAGAATAAGCGCTTGCCTGGCAAGCACAAGGGCCTGAGTTCAATCCCTCATTCTGAAAGAAGAAAGAAAGAAAGAAAGAAAGAAAGAAAGAAAGAAAGAAAGAAAGAAAGAAAGAAAGAAAGAAAGAAAGAAAGAAAGACATTCAATCAGTTCCAGAAGGAGAGGCATTCCAAAGAACTACTAGTTCTGCAACCTTTCCAATAAGCAAAAGTCATTAAAAATTTTAAAGGAATTAGTTTCTTTTTGATGGAAAGTGTCCTAAAAAATCTGAAGATAAATTGAGTACTAGAAGATACTGGAAAATTACTAAATTTTAGGGGTGCTAATGATGTACTTGTTACATTGGAAACATCCTAATTGATCTGGTGAAAAGTCACAATATCTTATTTCAAATTATAATACAGGCTGGGGAGATGGTTCAGTAGAATAAGCGCTTCCCTGGCAAGCACAAGGGCTTGAGTTCAATCCCCGGTTCCGCAAAAAAT